TCCCCGGGGTCGGGGCACGGGGACGCCCCGGGCAAGGGAAGGAGTTAACCTCTTTCGGCTTCGACGCCTTTCTCCCCCCGAGCCCCCGCCCAGCATCTCGGCGCCCCCGCATCACTCACATGCGAGGCCGGAGGAGCGCGGCGGCAAGGCGCCGGCGACGCATTAGCATTACCGGGGAGCCCGGAGCCCCCGCCTGCCGGCGCGGGGAGCGGGGGAGAGGGCGCTCTGTCCTTCCCCAGTACGCACACCACCGTCACACATGCGGATACCGAGAATAAGTGAACAGCAGGAAGGAGAAGCGGAGCCGCTGCCGGGGAGGGAGCCGGCCAGCCTGCTGCACACACGTCCCCACCCGCAACCGCCACACCTGTGCGGGAATCCGCGTGCGCCCGGCGGCAGCGAGCGGTGACCTCTTTACATAAGCCCGGCCGCGCGGGCCCTGCGGGGGAGGGAGATGCTCACTTTGTCTACCCGGTCAAAGAAAGCAGGGCACTAGAGCCAAGTACCCAGATGACGGGGACGGCTCCCTCCAGTGTGGGGCGGGCTTTTGTGTTTGTTTTGGATGAAGAGGCGGAGAGTCCAATTACCCAGTTTATCTACGGTACTCAGACCCAGTTCGTGACAGGCTGGCTGAATAGGCAGCTTTGCTTTGGGGGCGGTAGTATCATATGGCTTAACCTCATGGAAACAAGTTACGTGGGTGTGACACACGCAGATCCGACACAGGTACATCCAATATAACGTATACGCGGACCTGCACTTATAAGCAGAGCTTACACATTACCCTTCCTCTCCCTCCCTGAAATAGACACATTCACGGAGAAACTGACAAAGGTGCAGAAATATGTGGACACATAACTGGAGACATCAATCTAGATAGACAAATGCAAAGGCAATCTCTGTAATACACATGTACACCCCACTACCACCACCATTACCCTTCACACACCTTAGGAAGGGAAACCTGATTATCAAATCTTGGTCCTTGGCATCAACCCAAAAGGCTTGACAAACAATCCTTTCAAGTCACTCTCTAATAGTCTTTTTGGGACTGTAGATTCTCCGTCTACCTGGTTCCCTTGAATATAGTCAAGTCTTAAAATACCCAGGCTTGGGAGACTGTCTGACTTGGGTTTGAATCCTGGCTCTGAAAATTATTTAGCTACTCTTGAGCCTCAGTTTCATATATATAATTATATATGTGTATTATGTTATATACATATGTACTATGTGTATATTACATTACATACATAGATATTTAGACTTTTATTTTGAGATACATTTTAGATTCACACACAATTGAAAGAAAAAATACCCTTTACTTAGTTCCCCCAATGGTAACATATTATGAAACTACAGTACAATATATATCATAACAAGGGTATTGAAATCGATCAGTCAAGACAAGAACATTTCTATCACTACAAGGTTCCCTCACGTTACCTTTTTATACCCAGCCCCTTCCTTCCTCCCCAGCCTTTGGTAACCACTACTTTGTTCTCCATTTGCATCATATTGTTATTTCAAGAATGTTATAGAAATAGAATCATACAGTATGCAACCTTTTGAAAAAAAATTTTTTCCCAGCATAATTCCCCGGAGAGTCATCCAAGTTGTCCCATGTATCAGTAGTTTGTTCCTTTTAATTTTTGAGTAGCATCCCATGGTATGGATGTATCCTTGTAAGTTTTTGTGAGGATTAAATGAGATAAGATTTGTAAAGTATTCAGTATACTTTCTGATACATAACAAGGGCCTATTAAATCTCTATTAATACCATTATTATGGCTACTATAAACAAAAGGAAAAGTGAGAACAAGCACAAACATTTTGTCCCTCACTGAGAAACAGAAGTCACAACTCACAAAAGGTTCATCTTAAGATCTTGAGATCTTGGCTTAAACATTTCACTGTTTTTGTTTGTTTGAATTCTCTGTACTTAAAAAGGAAGCACCTCTAAAACCTTCACAGGAATGCTGTGTTCTGTTTTCTCTGTTCAATAAGAACTCGTTCATTCCAAAGAATGTGGTCTTAGTTAACATTTACTAAGAAACACCAAGCATTTCCCGTTTTCCCTAGAAGTCTCTATCTGTCCAGAAGTATAGGGAACAGACCTTTACCTCAATTTGAACTGTCTTCACAATATCAGGAAGGTTGAAAGTCATAGATTGTCCTCAAAGGGACTTGTTGGAGCTCATCTTCAACCTCTTTTGCCCACTGAGTCTTTTACCAAAGCAGTGAGGAAGGGCTTCTTAAATGAGCCTATCCTAGCTGGGGCTGCTTAATAAACAGATGGACAGAGTTCCACAACGCTATACTTTATGTTTGCATCACCCGTTGAGATAAACTAAGTCCTTGCATAGCCATTTTTTTCATCATCTTTTTTTGTTTTGTTTTGTTTTTGCTTCTTTTTGAGTTGGAGTCTCACTCTGCCGCCCAGACTGGAGTGCAGTGGCCACTCCTGGCCACCGCAGCCTCGACCTGCTGGGCTCCGGCGATCCTTCCGCCTCAGCCTTCCGAGTAGCTGGAATTACAGGCATGTGCTACCACGCCCGGCTGATTTTTTGATTTATTGTAGAGATGAGGTCTCACTGCGGGTCTCAAAACCGCAGGCTCAGGCAATCCACTCACCTCAGCCTCCCAAAGGCGCAGGATTACAGGCTGAGCCACCGAGCCCGGCTTTTTTCATCATCTTAACACAGCCCTGGCAGAGGTTGCCAGGGCAGGTATCAATGGCCACTTTCTACAGATGAGGAAATTGAGACTTAGTGAAATGAAGTGACTTATTTATGACTATGCTAGTGTCTGGGTGGCTCAAAGTTTTGAATTCCACATCCAATGCCCTTTGCCTTTTAAATCACAAATGAAAGAATTGTGCATTAGTAAGGAAACCAAGTGGTTCACACTCACCTGGCTTTTTGCTTTTTGCCCAGCTGCAGTGAAGAAAGGCGCCCAGACCCCAAGAGGATTCCAGCGGCTGCCCATACTATTTGTGCCAGGCAGTGCAGCTAGGGAAGCGCTGGAATCCAGCCCCAGGATAGGTTCTCACTCTAACATGATGCTCATGACCTACAGGCACCATCCTCTATGCAGACCATGGGACCCTGGGGACTTGGACCTTTAGAAAAGTACTAAGAACAGGATGTCTTTCAAGCCATGGTCTAACTGCTTGTTCTGGAAGTCCTGGCTCCTCTTCATCTGCCCTACCCCCATGGTTCTTCCTCCCAGCCAGGTGACATCCTTTAGTCCTTACAGTGAGTGCACATTGAGGAAGCTTGTAACCTAGCAACCGCCACTTAAGATTCCCTGAGTCACCTGCGGTTTCCATGCCTGGACTGAATGCACCAAGCTGGGGCCTTAATGAGTGCCAAGCACAGGGGGAGAGTCCAGGGACTCCTTTGATTCATTACCACCCTATTCTAGTGTGTAACCATTTTCTTCATCAAGAAGTTCTTCCTCAAGTCAAACCTAAATCCTTCTTGCTCTAAGATCTTGCATAGCATCAAGCCTGGGATTCTTTTGTTTCTTAAAAAGTGTTTGACTTTTTGCCTTGGTTACCAAGTGGGAGTGGGAGGTTGAGGAAGTAGAGGAGGGAAAGATCATAAAAGCCTCTAAAGATTAAATCTTTGATATGGTGGAGTCTTTATTATTGTGATATTTATGCATCAATCAAACTTGGGGATGCTCGGCCCAGAAAAAGTCATTCAGTACACTTTTGTCATGTTTTGTTTTTGTTTTTTGAGATGGGTCTCACTCTGTTGCCCAGGCTGGACTCAAACTCCTGGGTTCAAGTGATCTTCCTGCCTCAACCTCCCAAGTAACTGGGTCTACAGGCACATGTCACTGCATCTGACTCAGTAAGCTTTCTGAAAGTCACATTTAGATTTGTTGTGATCTAATTTACATACAATGAAATACACGACTTCCAGAACAAGCAATTAGACCATGGCCTGAAAGACATCCTGTTCTTAATACTTTTCTCAGTTTTACTCAGTTTCTATTGAGTATTTGTTAGGTATTTTGCAGGATCTTGTTTTCACTGAACTCTGTGCTGGGTTATAGGGAAGCTGGGGTTGGGGTGGGGAGGACAGTTTCTCCCCAGTAAATGAGGCAGATTCTCAGTGCAGCAGGCCATGGGTGGAGTAAGTATGCGTAGGGCTTCAAGGACTGGTGGAATTCCAGGTGTAGGGAGCACTTTTAGGGATGTAGGAAAGAGGAGTTGCTTGGCCATTGGTTGCCGCAGCAGCTCCTTCTCTGCCCCCAAAACACATTTTACCCTCCCATTAGTGAGTACCACCTGAGTGTCCTCTCTGGGGTACCACACTAGCTGACAGGACACTCTGGGAGCTTTAAGGCCAGGATCACCTTCTCTATAGACACCAGAATGGACATGACTCTCCCAGAGTTGCACAGCCTGATTGTGACAAAACATAGGCTACAGCAGAAGACTCCTGGCACTCAGGCCTGTCGTCTTTCTGCAGTGCCCCACAGATGGTAGGGTAGTGGGACAGCATGTAGACTCTGGAACCAGATAGTGAGTCTGAACCCTGGCTCAGCCACCTCCTAGCTATGTGACTATGAACAAGTCACTTATGTCCCTGAATCTCAGTTTCCTCACCTGTGAAAAAGGGAATAAGAAAACTTACTTTTTGGAGTAGTAAGAGGAAGGAGATGCCAGGCATACTCCTGGGCGCGTCACAGGT